TTTTCTGATACTACATTTATTACTTTTCTTAATTTGAGCTGCAGTTCCTAAGAGAAAACGCAGCTGGGTGTTTGTGGTGAGCCTATGAGATACAGCGGCAATGCCATGGTTCTGGAGCCTGGGGGTCTGGATTCGAATCCTGGACTTGTAACATAATTGCATTTGTGACAGCTCAGAGTATCAGCTTTGTTATTGCTAAAACAAGAACAATGTTCTTTTCCTCATATGGCTTTTGTTAGGAAATCATGGTTCTAAGTCACCTGGCATGGGTAGACAGACATTCAGTAAATTCCTTGTCTTTATACTGACCTTTCATGAGGATCTTGGTTTTGAAGGCTCTGTTACAGTAGTTTATGGCAGAATCGTCTCTAAAAATCCCTCATGGGACATATGCCTGAGGATCAACTCGAGGGATTCTGATTTTTAAAAATATGCAATGATGTCTCTATTGTTGTTGTTGTTAAGTGCCATCGAGTCGGGTCCGACCCATAGCGACCCTGTACAGGGTTTCCAAGTAGGCTGGGTAATTACTAATCAACACTGAGATTAAAATTACCTGCTTGAATCCACCCCCAGCTGCTGACAGTTTATGCATATTGCATTTCAAGTCCTTCACATGCTGGCCTTCCCCTACCTTACCAAAGGCATTTCTACCTTCTCCATCTGAACACTCCTCTCGCTAGCACTTAGGAGGAGGTCATACTAATGCACTTTCATGTTGTCAATGCAACCCCATAGTGTAGAGCACTCTTTGCACCCCTCTCTGTTTCAGACACTCACGTTCTTTGTTGTTAAAACTAAAACGCACTGCTGTTGAGTTGATTCCAATGCATCGTGACACCACGGGACATAGTGGAAGTCTTCCTTAGGGGTCCCATGACCATAAATCTTTACGGGAGCAGACAGCTTTGTCTTTCTTTCACAGATTGGCTAGTAGGCTTGAACAACTGACCTCATGATTAGCCCAATGCTTAATCCATCATGCGACCAGGACTCCTTCATTGTTGTTGTTAAGTGTCTTCGAGTCGGTTCTGACCCATATCGACCCTGTATAGGGTTTCCAAGGAGCAACCAGTGAGCTTGAACCACTGACCTTGAGATTCAAATGGACTTTGCAGTCCAGCACATTAATCCATAACGCCACTTTGTTTGTTGTTGTTGTTAAGTGCCATCGAGTCAATTCTGACCCATAGTGACTCTGTATAGGGTTTCCAAGGAGCAGCTGGTGAGTTTGAACCACTGACCTTGCAGTTCAAATGACTTTACAGTCTGACGCATTAGTCTACAGTGCCACACCAGGACTCCCCACTTTTGTTGTTGTTGTTGTTGTTGTTAAGTGCCATCGAGTCGGGTCCGACCCATAGCGACCCTGTACAGGGTTTCCGAGGGTGTAAATCTTTACGGG